CAATATTTTTGCTATGTCTATGAGAATTTTAATTATGTTGAATAATGCTAAAATGAAGCTTGTCCCTGAAATGTATATTTGATCCCAAGTTGATTGAGTTTAGGGGAAAGAAAAAGCATCCATTTGCATTGACATCTTTGACATTCTATACAAGTTTTTGTGGCTGGGTACTATGGTAAGTTCTACCTCAACCCCTTTGTCCTACTGAAGCTTAGAGGGATGACTTACTTTCCCAAGGTCACACAGCTGTGAGAGCCAGAGCCAGAATTTAGACTCAGGTCTTCTTTGAGTTCTTTCTTGAATTGACCACTTTTCTGATTTTGATCATTACCAGACATGTAACTACAGTGAGCACAGCCAGCCAAAGGTTGGGAAACTTTTCTACCTTTTCCCTTAACGGTTAGAAATTGATGGTCAGAAACAACAAATACATGTCAAGGATGTTGAATATGTGTATTATTTTGGGCTTCAAACAGATGTGATAAAAAGGCTCAGTTATGGCAAGTCTTCTAAGTTAAACTTTTCCTGAAAAGAGCGGCAAAGAGGGTTCAGGAGTGGTAAGGGAAATGTGGTATTATGTTAATGTTTATGTTTGGCTGTAGTTCACCAAAAATGAAGGTCAATACAGTTCTCTCCCCCGTCTGTGTATAAATTGGCAAATGACAGGAACAACATTTGCTTCTAATCACCCATCCATCTTAATAATGCTGAACAGATACAGTGTAGAAACTATTACACAACCACCAGCATTTCATGACATTGGAATCCTTGCCAGTTTGAAAGAGGACATTGAATCTGGGGAGAGTTATGTTTTATGTTTTTGATCATGATCTTCTTAGAAGATACTTATTAGGGCCATTTGTTGACAACATTAACAATTAACAAATTATGTTGTTAAAGCGTAACAAAAGTTTAATGGTTTCATTAGAGAACTATAAAGTCTGTTACATAAGAGAGAAATATGGTGGTAGTTTGAAAGCAGGAAATATTTACTTCAGGTTCTAATTTCTGGAACTAAGGAAAAACTCAGCTTATCCTGATCTAAAGAAATAAAACAATAGTAAAACAGAGGAGCGATATCTTTGTAGATTTGATGACAACAAAGTCCCTTAATACCTAAGAAAATCATTAGTCATATGCGTGCACTCACTGGCATTTTTTACAACTATAAAATTATTATAACAAGTGCACAAACAAGTTTCTTTCCCATGTGGGCAAGGGGCCATTTTTGTTATTTGGGGCCTGGTGTGGAAAAGTGGGAGAGGTGTGCATCTCTCCTCATCATTTAGTGCTCATCATTTAGTGCTTGTCACCAAGACTCACCAGGGAGTGCTGAGTTACACTCAGTCCTCTAGAGAGCCTTCTTCCTCAGTACAGAATTGTACTTCAGTAGGGGTATGCATTTGGCACTCTGCAGAAGTGAGAGAAAGCAGTTGCCAATTCCATTGTGGTAGCATGACCACTAATAGAGTAAAGCTAAAGGGTCTAAGACACTTCACATCCAGCTTTCTCAGGCAAGTAGTGGACATGACATCTTCCAGAAAAGGACAATTATAGTGGGGCAGCGGGGGGGGGGGGGGCCCCCCGAGTTCTTAGTAATGAAAGAAACTACTTACCAGTTTGAGAAATCTGCCTACCATTGTAATAAAAGTGAGTTGAGACAACTATCTGAATAGTTCAACTCAATTCAGGCCAAAGTATGTTTTGGTCTGAATTATCCAGATAATTCTGTTACAGTGGAAAGAATTCTGAACAGGGAGCTGGATCTTTGTTTCCACGAGGGTCTGCCAGGAGGAGTGTTTAAGCTACTCTGTGAGCCTGTTTTCTCATCTATAAGATTAGGGGTCTACCTGAGAGTCAATGACTTTAACTTAGTGTTTCCCAGAGGCAGATAAATGTCCAGTTTGTGAAACTGTGCCAGAGTGGAACAAGAGTTGGTATAGGGCATAGGTAATATTCCTTAAGGATGCTTCCAGCTCAGCAAGGTCAACTCTGGGGTGCTCATGGAGGAACCTGTATTCATTGGCTGGGGATGAGAATTTTTCTGATTTTCTTTTTCTTTCTTCCTTTTCTTTTTTCTTTTTCTTTTTGAGAAACAAGAATCTCACTCACAATTCTACAAGGAGCTTTAGTTAGTTAGGTCGCTTATCCGTAAGCTAAGGGACTTGGAGTAAGCAATCTCCAGGGATGACTGAAGTTATTTACTGCCCTGGCTCACACACAGGCAGAGAGATAGTGGAATGTGGGCCTCCCAGCACAGGACCCCGGCACATTCACTACCTGGCTCCATGCTTCCTGTATTTAGAAGAAGCGTCTTTTACAGTAGGAAGTGGGTTTTAGATTTATCAGGATGTTTCCACCTTTCACTTCCCAGAGAATTTTTCAGCTCTCCAAAGCGGCGCACTTGATTTCTGGCTGTGGGGAAGGCAGATGCGACTAGGTCTTGCACTGTAAGGGGAGGTCCAGCTGGAACGGGATTTGGGGTTCCGCACTTCTCTCCACGCATTTGTTCATCTCTGGAGGTTTTTCTGAGCATTGAAGGGGTGAGGGGGAAAAGGGACTGCAAAGTGCCAACGCAGGGGCAGAAGAGGGGATCTTTGAAAACTAACCCACGGAGCCCTTCACCCACTTCTCTGGGTCTCGGCAGGCCTGACCGGTATCAAAGGGCGTTTCCCAAACCAAACAGACTCACACCCCACCCTGGGGTCAGCGCGCTCGGTGGCCGGCGGCCGGGTGTTTGCACAGGTGGGCCAGGACCCCCGCGGCCGGCAAGGGGCCAGCTGGGGGAAGGGTGGGCCGTGGAGGTGGGAGGAGGGCGGTGGGTTCGGCGCAGGGGGAGGGACAGGCAGCCCTAGGCCCACCGGACGCGCGCTGAGCCGGGAGCGGTCCTCCCGGCGGCGCCAAGGAATCCAGTTTTCTGGGCGGTTGTCACAAGCGACAATCTTGGAGGGATTACAACCGCGAAGGCTGCGGCCCGAGGCTTGGGTCCAGCGAGCACTACCGAGCGTGGTCGTTGAGAGCCCCCTTCTCTTCCGCGAGGTGCGGTTCCCGTGGAATTGGAGTGTGGCCTGAACTAAAAGCATCCTTGCAACTTTACATTTTCATTTAGAAAGCCGGAGCTTGTGTGATTCCCCTCCTTTGGGGTCTCCTGTGGCCCAGCAGGGAGAGCCTGGGGAGTGCGAAGGAGAGACAGGGAGGGCACGACAGAACCCCAGGAGCCTCTATCCCTCCACACTCCACATCCTGGGCCCCCAGAGTAATTGGCATTTGGGTCGTGAAAGTTATAGCTTGGAGCTGGTCATAAAAGGCTGAACAGGGACACAAAGTTCAAGTGACTCTGATCATCCTCTAGCAAACCTTACAGTTACTGGGGAGACAGTGAAGGGGACCAGAAGCCAGGGAGGGGACCCCAGTCAATGGGACTCTGGAGTGTTCATTAGGAAAGAAGGACTTTGTTGAAGAGAGGGGAGACTAGCTGTGATTAAAAAAAAAAAAAAATCACCTTGCCCTTTGCCTCTTTTACTTCGCTATTGTGTTAACATAAATAAATCAAAGGCGGTTTAAAATCTCCATTTGCAGAACTGATTTCATGTATCAATGTAGAAATGAAGACTGTGGCTTTACAAAACTGATTTAAAAGTAGGCAGCACCTTGCCTCTGGAGGCAAGGCACACAGTTGGAGAGAAATGGTCTACTGGAGTTCAGAAGTACCTCAAGTGGCTGACTTCCTGTTGGCCTTTAAACTCAGAGTGTGTTTTCAAGAGAAAAATGAAAAGGATTGAGCATATGGGTCCTGATCTTTCCAATCCAGTAAACTTGTTGCCCTATCTCTTGCCCCAGTCCATTTCAGTCTTATTTTTTAGTCTAATTATTGGCCTTGGAGGTGCAAATCTCCACTTCAATGTCTACCTTTTGTCATAATTCAATCCTATTATTATCACCCTTCATGATTACTAAGTAGATATAACCAAAATCTGTCAAGACTTGTTGGTACTAGACTAGCAGATGGGCTTCCCCCCTCCCCCCCCATTTCCGCCAAAAGACAGCATCCTGAAATAAATTCCACTTTCTTTTCCCCACCTCACAATATGTAAATCCTAAATCTCATCTTGTCTTAAATTAGATGAGATCTATCCCAGAACTGCAGGAACAAAAATGGGGCCTAAATGTCAAGATTCTGGATTTCTTGTTCTTTGCATTAGTCTTTAGAATACTGAGATCCATAAATTGTTAGAGCCTCACTGCCTTTGAATTTACCAAGAAACAGGTGTTCGCACTGTTTTCTGGTGCTTCCTCCGATCAAAACCTTTCCTTTTTGCTATGAGAAACTGTCTTTGCCCGATCTGAGATAGTATTTTCTCTTCAGATCACAACTGAAATAGGCCTAGCAGCCCCACCTTGACAAATGCTATCCTCATATGAAAGGAGAGTGTGAAAAAAAATTACTACTGATTGGTTCATAAGCAAATTAACTTTTGAATCCCTAAAAAGGTAGGTAGTTTCATTTTGTCAAAAAACACTGACTTTCAAATTGCTTTCTAAAACTACCCTAAAGAAATCTTTGGTGTGTTGAGATGGTCTTATACCACAATTGTTTCTAGCTTTTTGAGCTCCAAATGAGAACCAAGTCACTTAAAAATGTCTGCTTGACTATAACCTTGTTAATAGCTCAATTTGTCTGCTAAGGGATTCTTGTAGGAGAGGGGCACACACCTTATCATTTTTTCTGATAACTCTTAAGAGAATTTCTCAGAGGTCATTGGTTTGAAGTTTAAGAAATCGTGTTGATGGAAGTCTCATCCTGGATATTTGTACAGCAATTGGTTAGGTAAGGAAAACTCTGCCTCTACCTTTACTGAATTATTCAAGAAGATACTTGACCCCCACTGGAAATTTTTTGAGAGTCAAACCTCAACCAATTTTCTTGGCAGGGGCAGGGTGGGGTGGGGATGTTAAAAAAAAAAAAAAGTCTCCATCTCCAACCTACTACCACAAAGTGCTAAAGTCAGTTGTGAGTTTTATTAAAAATAAGCACTATGCCTGGGTTTCATAAAATTTATACATGAATATGTACAGACACAAATAAAATAATATTAAAAATAAAAATCACACTCGCTTTCATGTGGCAGTGGTCCTGGCACCCCACATAGGTAATGTTAAATTTTCCTTTACAGAAATTGCTTGGCCCAAGGAGACCACAGTTAGAGACCACCGAACCACTAATAAAGCTGTAGCCCGTTGCCTGCAACATTTTCAATTCAGGTTTCAAAAATATATAAATAATTTAATTACAAAACCCAGCCTTTTTTTTTTTTTTTTTTTTTATCTTTTGGCACAGTGAAGCATTGGTCAATAGCAGAGAAATGACTGAAGATTCTCTGACACCTCTCTCACACTCAGTCATGCCTGTAAATGCCACATACTTACATAGAGCGGGGCCCCAATAAACCCCAAACAGTAGTCATATCATTTATCATATGAAATGGTTCCCTGATTGTGTGTGTGTGTGTGTGTGTGTGTGTGTGTGTGTGTGTGTGTGTTTTAAGGGAAAAATCAATGGAAGGTGCTACAAAAATAGGAATAAGGGAGAGCCTGGGCAGTAAGAAAATAGACAAAGTCTTTGTGAAGTGAAGGAGGGACAGGCTTGGTCAGTAAACTAAAACAATTATGAAGAATTGGTTTAGTTCTCTGTAAAGTCACAAAAGAAAGAAAACATTCTGAACTAAATTAAAACACTTCTGTCAAAAATGCTTTAGCTTTAAGGCACATTTGATGGAAATTTTTCTTTTAAAGTCTTTTTTTTTTTTTTTTTTTTTTGGTCTGGCTGGAAAATGCAAAAACCCCAAGCCTGTGTTCCCTGCCTGCCCGATGGCGCCCACCCCTGCTGCCGGGCTCCGCGGCGCAGCTCAGGCCAGAAGCGTCTCCACTGGGTAAGGCAGGTGCGGGCCGGGGCCACCGGCTGAGGACGCCTGCAGCGCCGCGGGCAGCCGCAGGGGGCAGTACAGGTGCGCGCCGCCGCCAGCCGCGGGGCCACGAAACGGCTTGGCGGGGGCCGAGGCAGAGAGGGGCGCAAGCAAGAGGTGAGGCACTGCGGGTGGCGCGGCCGGCGGTGCGTCGGCTCCGCGCGCGCTCAGCAGCAAGGGCTCCGCCGCACTGTAAGCGCACATCGGCAGCAGGGCCCCTCCGGAGGCTCCGGGGAGGAGCGCGGGATATGTGGGGAGCGGCGGACAGGGTGCGGCGCCCCATGGCAGCCGCGCCCCGGGGGCTGCGTCCCCGTCTCGGCGGCTGCGGAAGGGCTTGCTTAGGATGCTGTCTATGGCGAAAGAACTGGAAAACTTGCCCGCAGGACTGGCGCGCCCCTCGTGGCGGGCGGGCGAGCGCTCACGGGGAGAAGTCGGGGCGGCGGGCGCGGGCGGAGGGGGCGCAGCGGCGGGGTGGGCCGCGGCCTCCTCTGGCCGAAGCCCTGGTTGGGGGGCTGCCGCCCGGTGGCTGAGGCGCTTGCGGCGGCGGCGGAAGACCCCGTCGGCGAAGGTGTACTCGCTGTTGGGGTTGAGCATCCAGTAGTTGTCCTTGCCCCAGGGCCGCGAGGGGTCGCGCAGCACCTTGACGAAGCAGTCGTTAAGTGAGAGGTTGTGGCGCACGGAGTTGCGCCAGCCCGTGTAGCTTCCGCGGAAGAAGGGGAACTTGCCCATGAGGTACTCGTTGATCTCGGCCAGCGTCAGGCGCCCTCCAGCCGAGTCGCGGATAGCCATGGCGATGAGCGCGATGTACGAGTACGGGGGCTTGGGCCGCCGCGTGTACGGCTTGCTGCGCGCGCCCTCGCCGCCCCCCGCGCTCCCCGCACCTGGCCCGGCTGCGCAGGCCTCCGCGTGCCCCGCCGCCACCGCTGCGGGGACCTCCTCCTCAGCGCCCGGCCCGCAGCCTGCGTTCCGTTCGCCGCCGCCCGCCAGCTCCTCGGCGCTGCCGCCCGCCTCCGGGCTGTTGGCCGCGCAGTCCCCGTCCGAGCCCAAGGAATCGTCGCCGGCTGCAGACAGCGGAGATGGTGCGTCGCTGCTGCCGGCACCCTCCAAGTCACTACCTGGCTTGTCCCCGTGGGCCGCGCGGGGGCCGAACACCTCCAACTTCATGACCACACACCCTGTCCCTGCCCCGCGCCGTACCCTTTTCCTTCGCGCGGTCTTGGGAAGCTGGTGCCGGGCGCCGGAATGGAGATCCTGGGGCCACGGGTCCTTGCCTTTCTTTCCCGGGAGCTCTCTCTCCTCTTCCGAGAGACAGTCACTTTTCCGTTTACGAGTCTTCTTCCGCTGGAATTTTTTTGGAGGGGTTGTGCTTATTGGGTGAACTAAGAGGGGCGGAGAGGGAGGAGTTGGATGTGTTCTGTCTTCAATTCGAGGATTAGAGACTTCGGGGTGAACGCGTGAGGGGGTGCAGTTCCACCCTCTGGTGCCCAAGTGTGCCGGGCTTGGGACTTCTTGCTGGAAGGAAGAAGCGTGAGCATCTGCTATCCATTCAAGAGACCAGGAGGTGTTCTTCACTGGAGGTCCCAGGTCCCGGGCAGGCGTCCTCGAGGCACGGAGATGGTGCCAGCCTGTGTGCGTGCCACTCTTGGGGGGAGGGTATGGAGCCTTCAGCCTTGAGCGCCCACGGAGCCGAGTCCCCGAGACCGTGGCGTCCGCAGCCGCCTTTCCGTCCCGGGCCTCCGAAGCTGCATCTCCTCGCTGGCCTTCTGCTGCTACGTCTCGCCTCCACCTTCGCCCAAGCCCAATATAACCCCGCGGCGGCTCCGAGGGGGCGGGGCTTGGGCGCAGACGGCAGAGGGGTGGGGGAACAAGGTGGCCAAGGTGGCCGCAGCTCCCCGGAGGGCTCACACCAGGCCGAGGCCATGCGGCAGCGCGGAGGCAAAATCTCCGCGCAGGTTGTTTGTTTTGGGTCCGCCCGGCCCCGCCCTCCGCCTCCCGCCAATGAGGAGCCTGCGCGCGGCTGGGGGTGTGCGCGTGTCAGTGAGTGTGCCCGCGTGCCGGCCCCGCCCGCCCGCTCCTCCCTCAGGTGTGAGAGCCCGGCTGCCTAGGAGGAGTCACTACATTTTAGAGCTCAAGGAGGCGATTGGGGCAGTGGAGGGGGATATCTCTAGGGGACACCCGGAAGGGCTGGGTCCAGGGCAGCAAGGACTTCGCTCCCGCCAGCAGTCCTCTTAAACTGCCTGCGGTGTGTGTTTTCCTCCTCTTGGTAGCAAAAACCGTGCTTCTTCGGAAAGCAACCCCCTGTCGTTACTAACGAAGTGCTAAACAGCAAAGACCGCGCAGGACACTCTGCGGGGATCGCTTATGGGAGACACATGCTGTGCACCTTTCTGTGGTTTCCCTTTGCTGGCTTTCTTTTCTTTTCTTTTTCATTTCTTTTCTTCTCTTTTCTCTTTTCTTTCTCTTCTTTCTTTCTCCCTTCCTTTCTGAGTAAAATACTGGACTTGAAATTGTGTACCTTTTTTTTTTTCCAGTGGCCTTGACTGTTGCTCGATAAATGGCCTCTGACTTTCACTTTTGTTTTTCTGTACGTTTTTCTTTACCTGGCTGGTGGCTCTTGGGTAAAAGGAGTGTTCCCCTCTTCCTTGGGACAACTGTGTCTGGCGCAGGGTGCCAGGCTCTGCCGGCGTGTCTACCCCTGCGGAATCCTCCCGACGCGAGCCGGGCAGAGAAGAGCTATTCCCGGGGTTCCGACTGTAGCAGGAACGAAAGGGAGGGCGTGTTCCCGAGGGCAGGGGCCTACAGCACCACGTGTTTACGACCATTACTTTCCAGTCCTTCACCTTGAGGACTTTGGCTGTGGTTTCCGACCAACAGGAAAGGGGGTCCTTTCTCTGGGCGGTTGGGCCTACGTGGGGTCAATACCCCAGGGAGGGGGCGCCCTGGACCCCCGGAAGGGTGCACTTATAACCCGCTGCCCTTCCACGCTGAGGTTTCCTCCTTTTTCCTGCCTTTGTTGAAAATAGCGACGGAGCTGCTAGTACGTGGGAGCTCACCTTTGATGTTTATTTTATTACTTTCCACCATTTGTGTAGAAAACGTACACAATCCTCTCTTATCTTTATTCAGGCGGTTTTGAAGGCATTTAGAATGGGGCGAACAAAATGACAGACCCATTGGCGGCTCTGTTATTTTCGTGTTTGGAGAAATGATCACGTTTGGAGATTAGATTGACGTTTATTGCGTGTTTGAGTTGGGAACCGGGTGGGAAATGTATTCTTTTCCATAGATGAACCTCCCTGTAGGAGATCTGCTCACCCTAGCCCTGGGAGTTTATGGCTCCTTGGACCTGGAGAAGGGGAGTGGGCTGGGGCAAGAAAGCAGCCAGGTAAAGAGTTACAGATTTGGCTAGGGATAAAAGACACTCGCAATGAATGTCATCCTCATTTGAATTCTGGAGGTGGGCAGGGCAGGAGAAGGAAGGGCTATTTTATGGGTGAGATAAGCCCCCTTGAGTTGAGGTGGGGGCCAGTTTGGCTGCAGAGTCTAAGGGAGGCCTCTGAGACATTCCAGCACCAAAGTGTCCTGTCATCACCCAGTTCCATCTTAAGAGATGGCCAGGTGTGCTGTCCCACAGAACTGAAGCCACACAGCTACTACAAAACCCCTGACCCTGATACAGCCCAGACACCACCAGGTTTGCAGCAACACTCACCTCATTGGGAAGTCCCCCTCCTTGGACCCCCAGGGGACTCCTCCACGTGGTCCTAAAGCACACTCCTATCTCTCCTCCTCCCTCACCAAATCTCCCAGCCTAGGTGTTCTGGGCGTTCTCATGTTAGTCTGGAAAGTTCCAGTGAACTATTAAAAGGGATATTGTTCAGAGAGAAGAAAATTGAGCAACATACTGGTCCCTGCTGCCACTCACACATGACCGTGTGACCTTGGGGCTGCCCTTTGGATCTTCTTCACTTATAAAAAGAGGCCATCAGAATGGAATTCCAAGTTTTTTCTCAATCTTGCACACATAGTTTTTTGGCACTTGTTATTTCTTGGGTTGAATGAACAGCAGGTGCACATCTGCCTCTGGGGAGTTTGCAGGGCCAGGGGGCATAGATATCCAGCCACCTGGACTACAGTGGCAGTGGCTCTCTTTGCCTTAGCCTGCTAGCTCCAGAATGCATGTAATCCCAGCCTGGTGAGAAGAGGGAGGGCGATTGTGGATCTCCTGGGCAGGCAACCTGGGCGTGGGGCTTTGTACAAAAAGAGTGTTGTGCCCCCTTCCCCCCACCAAAGAAGTCAGACTTCCCCCAATCATGTCCCATTTTTCCCCTTTTTACTCAGCACCTTCCCCCCTTCCCCATCCTCAGAAGCAGCAGACCCTCTCCTTACCCCATCTTATGTGGGGAAAGGACATGTCAGTCACTCCTATGGCATAGGCCTTCCCCTTCCTCAGTGCTAGGACACTGGTAGGCTGTTGTCAGTAGGTTTGGAGCCTAAAAAGGTTTGAAGGGAAGGGTGGAGGTGGGAGAATTCTCAGCAGGAAAAACTTTCTTAATATCAGAGTGACTTACAAATTGCCAGTGGACTTTGGAAAGGAAGGCCATGGTGAGAATTTCAAGGTGGGCTACCTTGAAAAACTAAAAAGATCCCCAGGAACTAGAATGTAAGCCCCACTAAGGCAGGGGTTTTGTCTTTTTCCTTCCCTGCTGTGTCCCCAATCCTTGCCTCCAGAATGAGTGTCACATTATGCCATTTCCTAAGGCATGCTGCATTTGTCTTCAATTAAGATCAGAAATAGAATTTCTCTTTCCCTTTGTGGTTTACTTCGGTATATTATCTTTAACTGTTGTCTACAGCCAGGAAATAATTCACCTTTTGCAGATTTAAGAACAATGAGAATGGATGGAGAAGGGCATCCATTCTCTGCATCTTTATCCACATCCTCAAGCTTAGGCACTGTAAAATCACATGCAATGTTTTGTAGTTCATAAGTTCTCCAGAAATGCTTGGAGATTTCTGTTCCCTAATTCCTCAGTCCTTTGGGGGTCTGCTATTGATGGATTAATAATAAATAATAAATGGTGGAACCTGACCAAACACTTGCAGGTATGAAAGATTAATTAGCTTGTTTTTTTCCCTTTTAATTTCCATGGAGAAAAGTGAATACACTATGGCCAAGGATGAATACACATTTTCATGATCTTGTAGCTTCCATGAAGTGGTTTTAGGCAAAGGAGAGTAATGCATCTATCTGCAGAGACCAAGAACTAACTTAATTAACTGTGGAAACTATCTGCATATTTACTAATTTGATAGGGCTTCATTCTGATATGGAAGGGAAATAATTTAATTCCTAAAATACCTAAGGTAATTTGGTAGACTGGAAATTGACTCTTAGTGGAAATACTGATGAGTTGTCCCATGAATTAGAAGAGCATACAGCCTTTGTACAGTGGGAACATGGAATTACCTTGATAACATTCCCTGTGGGTAACATAGAAACAGCTTTAAGTTTCTTGCCTTGTTAACCTCTGCTGGTAGCTGATGTTGGCCTCAGGTATGAAGAGAAGGTGAACTTAAAATCACTTTTCTATGGGGACCTGGGCCTCTGGGTGAGTCTACATTATGGTGCTGTTAAGTACTGAAGAGCCACAGGCAAAGAGGACAGGCTAATGTTCAGAGCCCCAAAGCAAAATGCATGGCATTGGATCTGTGTAAATTCTCTCTTGAGGAACAGAGAGGGTCCTGACTTGTGATGCTGGAAGTTAGGTGGCAGTGAAGTTTCTTTTCAAAGGTAAAGCCCAGCTCCTTCTCTCTTCCTTTCTCTTAGTGAAAACATATGGGAAACAGCACTTTGTGCCCTGTTATAATCCACACTTCCATTGTTTGGCTGATTTTTTTTTTTTGGTAGATTTTGAACACTTGGGAAGAATCTCACAGAGATTCAGGGTGGATGTGGGAGGATGGAGATAAAACCTAGGTAATTTTACATATGTATGTAGTAGACACAGGCTTGTGTGTCTGTTTGCTGCCTTTGTTCTGGCACTCTGCTGCTGTTGGTACTCTGGCCCAGCCCATAGACACAGTTTAATCAAAGCAGCCCAGGATTTGGCTAGGCATTAATGATCAGGAACAAACCCAAGGGCTATCGTTGAAGTTTCTTTTGAGAGTCCCAAAGTCACAACCAG